TGCTGCTGCTGCTGCTGCTGCTGCTGCTGCTGCTGCTGCAGCGTGCCGACGTACGGCTTGCTGCTGCAGAGGCGCTGCTGCTGCTGCTGGAGAAGGAGATTAGAGATGCGCCGCGATTTGTCTTTTTGCTGCCGGGGGTTTTGTCCATGGCAAAAGAAGACAAAGATCCAGCAGTACAGCTCGTCGTAAGCAAGGGTTTAGGGTTTAGGGTTTAGGGTTTAGGGTTTAGGGTTTAGGGTTTAGGATGGGGTGGGTAGACTATAGACGCTATCTGTGGTTGGTGGTGCTGACGTGCATACAGAGAATTAACAGTGAAAAACCTGTAAGCTGTATTTAGGGTTTAGGGTTTAGGGTTTAGGGTTTAGGGTTTGTGGTGTATAGGCATTACAACTATTAGAAAAATTAGCAAGAGAAGATTCATGGAGCAGCAGCGTTGCTGCGCTGCTGCAGCAAATCGATTTGCTGCCAGCAGCAATTAAACCCCAAACCCTAACAACTGCAGCGCTGCTCATGGAAAAATATGCTTCCCCTCAGCAGTAAACCCTAAACCCTAAACCCTAAACCCTAAACCCTGAAGCTTAGGCGCAGACCCCTTCACGTACACATCAATAAAGAGTAAACCCTGGCGGTTGTTTTCCTGTTTATTTTTTTCTAAATATTACCAAGGGTTTAGGGTTTATTCCTGTTAATTCGTGTTAATTCGTGTTAATTAGGGTTTATTTAGGGTTTATTAGGGCTTATTAGGGTTTAGGGTTTAGGGTTTATTCTGATTCAGGTATGTAGAAAGAGCATTTGATTTACTTTCTCTTGCGCCATTGGATTGTCCTTCTTTCCTTTGGGGAAAAACAATCTTTTTTCTTTCTCATCTATCTAATACAGAGGCTAGGGTAGGGTTTAGGGTTTAGGGTTTAGGGTTTAGGGTTTAGGGTTTAGGGTTTAGGGTTTAGGGTTTGGGGTTATATGGTAATATGGAGGTTTAGTGTGGTTGGAGTTTAGCGCTACCTGTTATCGAGGGTTTAGGGTTTAGGGTTTAATACGCTGAAGGGATGGATATATAAGCTTTAGTGTTTAGCGGAGAATATTTAGGGTTTAGGGTTTAGGGTTTAGGGTTTAGTGTTTGCTGCAGCTGAAGGCCGCCCGCGCTGCTATCTCTGCCCTACGGAACCCTCACCTCGAAGAACCCCTTCTTAGGTACAAACCCTAAACCCTAGATCCTAAACCCTAAACCCTAGATCCTAAACCCTAAACCCTAAACCCTAAACCCTTGCTGACAAGGGGCTGCACCTCTGCCCATTACGTTGTTTCTTTCTTCTCCCTTCCTGTCCATCTTCCCCACCCACTGCTGCTGCTGCTGCTGCCTGTGCTGCTGCTGCTGCTGTTGCTGTTGCTGCTGCTGCTGCTGCTGCAGGTTATGCAGCTCTATAATAGGAGATTGCGCGGGTTTGCTGCCTAGGGTTTACGGGGGTTTAGATGCAGCAGCACAGTTGCTGCTGTCGCATCTGCGGTGTATAGGCAGCTCGCGTCTTCGTCCCCTTGAGCTGTATGGGCAGCCATGGTCTATAATAGAGAGCAACAGCAGCTGCTGCTGCTGGTGCAGCAGCAGAAGCAGCAGCACCAGCAGTATTTGCTGCGCATGCAATACCAGCAGCAGCAGCAGCAGCAGCAGCGCAGCAGAAGCAACAGCAAAAGGGAATATATGCAGCTTGATGCTTACTACTCTATGCAAAATAGCAGCAGCAAACCCGCAGCAAAAATCTGCTGCTGCTGCTGCTGCTGCTGCTGCTTCCTTCCTATCCACCAACAAAGACGTAGAAGTGCAAACACGAGCTAAAGAAATGAAGGCGTAAACCCTAAACCCTAATAAACCCTAAACCCTAATAAACCCTTAATCCTAATAAACCCTAAACCCTAATAAACCCTTAATCCTAATAAACCCTAAACCTTAATAAACCCTAAACCCTAATAAACCCTAAACCCTAATAAACCCTAAACCCTAATAAACCCTTTCTTAGCCTCCTTACAGTATACAGTAGGATGGTTAGTGATTAGGGCATCATGGACTAGGGTTTAGGGTTTAGGGTTTAGGGTTTGTGGGTGCGAGCAGGCTGTTGGATACCGGGGACGAGGAGTTTATTTCTTTTTGCCTGCTGGGTGCAGCAGGCAGCAAGCAGCAGCAGCAGCAGCGGTCTCGTGCTGCTGCTGCTGCTGCTGGTAAGGTGACCGCTGATGGAGTTGCTGCTGTTGCTGCTGCTCTAGAGAGAGGGAGAGCAGCAGCAGCAGCAGCAGGAGACAGCAGCAGCACCAAGAGACACATCAGCAGCAGCAAATTTAGTACGCCAGCAATTGGCAGCAGCAGACGCAGCAGCAGCAGCAGAAGCAGCAGCAGGAGTAGCAGGAGCAGCGACACTGGCAGCAGCAGCCGCAGCACCAGCAGAAGCCGCAGCAGCGATGCTGCCAGCAGCCGCCGCAGCAGCAGCAGCCGCAGCAGCAGCAGCAGTGC